CATCCTCTCCAGCATAGATTGTCATTTGTGTTTTGATTTTAGCCATTCTGGCCAGTATAAGAGGGTATCTCAGAGTTGTTTTGAGTTGCATTTCTCTGATGGCCAAGGATTTTGAGCACTTTCTTAAATGTCTTTCAGCCATTTCAGATTCCTCTGTTGAGAATTCTCTACTTAGTTCTGCACCCCAATTTTTAATTTTATTGTTTGGTGTTTTTGGTGACCAGCTTCTAGAGTTCCTTGTATATTTTGGAAATCAGCCCTCTGTCAGATGTGGGGTTGGTGAAGATCTTTTCCCAGTCTGTGGGCAGGCATTTTGTCTTACTGACTGTGTCCTTTGCCTTACAGAAGCTTCTCAGTTTCAGGAGGTCCCATTTATTAATTGTAGATCTCAATGTCTGTGCTACTGGTGTAATGTTCAGGAAGCGGTGTCCTGTGCCAATTCGTTCAAGGATATCTCCCACTTTCTCTTCTAGAAGATTCAGTGTGGCTGGATTTATGTTGAGATCTTTGATCAATTTGGACTTAAGTTTTGTGCATGGTGTCAGATAGGGATCTATCTGCAATCTTCTGCATGTCTGAATCCAGTTGTGCCAGCATCATTTGTTGAAGATGCTATCTTTCTTCCATTGACATAGATTTAGCATCTTTATCAAAAATAAGGTGTTCATAGCTGTGTGGGTTAATATCAGGGTTTCAATTCGATTCCATTGGTCTGTCTATTTTTGTGCCAATACCAAGCTGTTTTCAGAACTATGGCTCTATAATAGAGCTTGAAGTAAGGGATGGTGATGCCTCCAGAAGATCCTTTATTGTACAGAGTTGTTTTGGCTATCCTGGGTTTTTTGTTGTTGTTGTTGTTGTTTTTCCATATGAAGTTGAGTATTGTTCCTTCAAGTTCTGTGAAGAACAGTGTTGGGATTTTGATGGGGATTGCGTTGAATCTGTAGATTATACTTTTGGCAAAATTGCCATTTTTACTATGTTGATCCTACCTATCCAAGAGCATGGGAGATCTTTCCATTTTCTGGTTTCTTACTGTACAGGTCTTTCACTTTTTTGGTTAGTTTTACCCCCAAGATATTTTATGTTGCTTGTGGATATTGTGAAGGGTGATGTTTCTCTGATTTCTTTCTCATTGCATTTATCATCTGTGTATAGTAGGGCTACTGGTTTTTTGGAGTTAATTTTGTATCCTGCTACTTTGCTGAAGGTGTTTATCAGCTCTAGGAGTTCCCTGGTAGAGTTTTTCGGGTCACTTATGTAGACTATCATATCATCTGCAAATAGTGAAAGTTTGACTTCTTCCTTTCCAATTTGTATACCTTTGATCTCCTTTTGTTGTCTTATTGCTCTAGCTAGAACTTCAAGTACAACATAGAAGAGATATGGAGAGAGTGGACAGCCTAGTCTTGTTCCTGATTTTGGAGGAATCACTTTGGGTTTCTCTCCATTTAGTTTGATGTTGGCTGTTGGCTTGGTGCATATTGCTTTTATCGTGTTTAGATATGTTCCTGTTATTTCTGTTCTCTCCAAGATCTTTATCATGAAGAGATGTTGGATTTTGTCAAAGGCTTTTTCAGTATCTAGTGAGATGTTTTTCTTTTTCAGTCTGTTTATATGGTAGATTTAATTGATGGATTTTCATATGTTGAACCATCCTTGCATCCCTGGGATGAAGCCTACTTGATCATAGTGGATGATTTTTCTGATGTGTTCTTGGATTCAATTTGCCAATATTTTGTTTAGTATTTTTGCATTGATGTTCATGAGGGATATTGGTCTGTAGTTCTCTTTTTCAGTTGTATCTTTGTGTGGTTTGGGTATCAAAGCTATTGTAGCCTCATATAAAAATAGTTTGGCAATGTCCCTTCTGCTTCTATTGTGTGGAACAATTTGAGGAGTACTGGTATTAGCTCTTGTTTGAATTTCTGGTAGAATTCTGCAGTGAAGCCATCTGGCCCTGAGCTTTTTTTTTTTTTTTTTTTTTGGTTGGCAGGCTTTTGATGACTGCTTCTATTTCATTGGGGGTTATAGGTCGATTTAAACTGCTTATCTGTTCTTTAATTTTGGTAAGTGACATCTATCCAGAAAATTGTCCATTTCCTTTAGATTTTTGAATTTTGTGGAGTACAGGTTTTCAAAGTGACCTGATGATTCTCTGGATTTCCTCAGTGTCCGTTGTTATATCCCCCTTTTCGTTTCTGATTTTGTTAATTAGCATGCTCTCTCTCTGCCTTTTGGTTAGTTTGGGTAGAGGTTCGTCAATCTTGTTGATCTTCTCAACGAACCAACTCTTTGTTTCACTGATTCTTTGTAATATTTTCCTTGTTTCTACTTTATTGATTTCAGCTCTCAGTTTGAATACTTCCTGGCATCTACTCCTCCGTGGTGAGGTTGCTTTTTTTGCCTCTAAAACTTTCAGTTGTTCTGTCAATTCTCTAGTGTGACTTTTCTCCAGTTTCTACATGTCAGCACTTAGTGCTATGAACTTTCCTCTTAGCTTTGCTTTCAGAGTGTCCCACAAGTTTGGGTATGTTGTGTCTACATTCTCATTGAATTCTAGGAACTCTTTAATTTCTTTTTTTATTTCTTCCTCGACCCAGGAATGGTGCAATTGGGTGTTATCCAATTTCCACAAGTTCATAGGTTTTCTACAATTTGTATTGCTGTTGAATTCTAACTTTAAGGCGTGGTTATCTGATAAGATACAGGGGGTTATTTCAATTCTTTTGTATCTGTGGAAGGTTGCTTTGTTGGCAACTTTGTAGTCAGTTTTACAGAAGGTTCCATGTGGCACTGAGAAGACGGTATATTCTTTGTGTTTGGATGGAATGTTGTATAGATATCTGTTAAACCCAGTTGGGTCATAACTTCTGTGAGATCCTTTGTGTCTTTGTTAAGTTTCTATCTGGTGGTCCTGTCTAGTGGTGAAAGCGGGATGTTGAACTATATAAGTCCTGCTATAAGTGTGTGTGGTTTTATGTGTGCTTTGAGCTCTAGTAATGTTGCTTTTACAAATGTGGGTGCCTTCGTACTTGGGGCATAGATGTTCAGGACTGAGACTTCATCTTGATGGACTTTTCCTGTGATGAGTATGAAATGCCCTTCTTCATCTCTTTTGATTGGTTTTAGTTTGAAGTCTAATTTGTTAGAGATTAGGATTGCTACACCAGCTTGTTTCTTGGGCCCATATGATTGGAAATTCTTTTCCCAACCCTTTACTCTGAGGTAACAACTGTCTTTGAAGTTGAGGTGGGTTCCTTGTATTCAGTAGAAGGATAGATTCAGTCTTTATATCCATTCTGTTAGCCTGTATCTTTTAATAGGCAGGCTAAGACCATTGACATTGAGCGATATTAATGGCCATTGATTGTTGGTTCTTGTTTGTTTTGGATTTATTGTTGGTGGTGTCATTGTGTGTGGATTTCACCCTCCTGTTTCTTTTTGTGTTTGGTAAAATTGAATTAACTACACTCAAAAAACATAGGCAATAGATATCTTCGTTGGGTTGGAGTTTTCCTTCCAGAACTTTCTGTAGTGCTGAATTTGTGGATATGTATTGATTAAGTCTGGTTTTGTCATGGAATATCTTGTTTTCTCCATCTGTAGTGATTGCAAGTTTTGTTGAGTACGGTAGTCTGGGTTGACATCCATGCTCCCTTAGTGTTTGTAGGGTATCCACAAACTGGTATCTGAAAGCCAGACCTTCTTTCAAAGTTTCCATTGAGAAGTCAGGTGTGATTCTGATAGGTCTCCCTTTATATGTTACTTGGCCTTTTTCCTTTGATTCTCTTAATACTTCCTCTTTATTCTGTAGGTTTTGTGTTTTGATTATTATGTGTTGAGGGGACTTCTTTTTGTGGTCCTGTCTGTTTGGTGTTCTGTAAGCTTCCTGTACTTTCATAGGCATACCCTTCTGTAGGTTGGGGAAGTTTACTTCTATGATTTTGTTGAATATGTTTTCTGTGCCTTTGATCTGTGTTTCTTCACCTTCTTCTATACCTATTATTCTTAGGTTCGGCCTTTTCACAGTGTCCCATATTTCCTGGGTATTTTGTGTTAGGGACTTGTTGGACTTGTGATTTTCTTTGGTCGATGACTGTATATCCCCTAGCGAGTCTTCCACAACTGAGAAGATTTTCTCTTCCATCTCTTGAATTCTGTTGGTTATACTCTCATCTTTAGTTCCTGATCGTTTATCCAGCCTTTCTATTTCCAGCATCCCCACGTTCTGTCTTTTCTTTATTGTGTCTATTTCAGCTTTCATGTCTTGAACTGTTTTGAGTGCTTCCTTCACTTGTTTGGTTGTTTTTTCTTGGTTTTCTTTAGATTCTTTAAGAGATTTGTTTACTTCTTGAATTTTTTTGGTTTGTCTTTTCCTCCATTTCATGTAATTTTTTGCTTGTTTTTTTCTTCTATTTCTTTAAGGGATTTTCTTGTTTCCTCTTTAAAGGTCTCTATCATCTTCCTAAGATAATTTTTGAGGTCTGTCTCTTCTTCATCCTCTGTGTTGGGTTTTTCAGATCTTGCTGTGAGTGCCAATGGAGTCTCACCCTCTCTCAGGTGGCAGGCAGAGAGCTCAGCCTCTGGCGGCAGCCGGAAGGCAGAGGGCGGTGGGTAGACAAGGGTGGGGTGTTTCTGGACTCAGGGTGGGCTTTCCCAGTCTGGGCAGTTCCACTCTTGCCTGGGTGGGCTCAGGCAGAAGGGAGCAGTGGTTGATGGGGGAGGTTGGGGAGCAGAGCTGCGCCCAGACTCACCTGAGGCTTGGGTGCCCACAGCAGGGCGGAGGGTGGACAGGGATGAGGTGTGTCCAGACTCAGGGTGGGCCTTCCATCTGGGCAGGTCCACTCTTCTTGGGGCAGGGGGGGGGGGGGGGGT